ATTGAGCTAGATGTTCCCGGAGAGCATGGTCCCCACATTGGCTATAATTTTTATGGAAGCAGATCACCAGGCTTTTCATTCACTGTGCCTCTGGGTGGGTTCCAACCGCCAACCTTTAGGTTAGTAGATGAGTGTGAACCATTTGCGCCACTGGAATGCCCTGTCACCTCTCCAGAATTGGTTTTGCAGTAAATAATAGGAATTTAATGAAGTATTTCTAGGACATAGCTGTACATAGAGGAAACTCTAGTATAAAGTTGTAGGAGCCTAGTGCTTTTACTCTAAGATTAAATAAAAGATTAAATTGGTGGTTATGGAAAGAAAAGTATTTAGAGTTGAAAAATTATTTCCTTTATTTTTTCAAAAATTAAAAAGGATTTTATCTTTGACAGTGAAATTCCTAAGGACTCCTTGAAGGCCATCCTGTTGGAGTTAGAATGTCACTTTACCTGGAATTTACTGAAAGAAGACATCGATTTGTTTGATGTGGAAGATACAATTGGGCAACAGCTTGATTTTCTTACCACAAAATCCAGACTCACTCTTTTTAACCTATTGGCTTATGTGAAACACCTAAAAGGACAAAATAAAGACGCTCTAGAGTGCTTGGCACAAGCAGAAGAAATAATCCAGCGAGAACACTCAGACGAAGAAGAAGTACGAAGTCTAGTCACTTGGGGAAATTATGCTTGGGTGTATTATCACATGGACCAACTTGAAGAAGCTCAGAAGTACGTAGACAAGATAGAGAACGTCTGCAAGAAATTGTCCGGGCCTTCTAACTACAAGTTGGAACGTCCTGAGATTGACTGTGAGAAAGGGTGGGCGCTCTTGAAATTTGGAGGAAAGTATTATCAGAGGGCTAAAGGAGCTTTTGAGAAGGCCTTGGAAGCAGAACCTGACAATCCAGGATTTAACATTGGCTATGCCATCACGATGTATCGGCTAGATGATTCTGACAGAGAAGGTTCTATAAAGAGCTTTTCTTTGGGCCCTTTAAGGAAGGCAGTTACCCTGAACCCAGATAACTCCTACATTAAGGTTTTTCTGGCACTAAAGCTTCAAGATGTACATGCAGAAGCTGAAGGGGAAAAGTATATTGAAGAAATCCTGGACCAGGTATCAGCCCAACCTTATGTCCTTCGTTATGCAGCCAAATTCTATCGGAGAAAAAACTCCTGGGACAAAGCTCTCGAACTTTTAAAAAAGGCCTTGGAGGTGACACCAACCTCTTCTTTCCTGCATCACCAGATGGGACTTTGCTACAGGGCACAAATGATCCAAATCAAGAAGTCCACGCACAACAGGCCTAAAGGAAAGGATAAATTGGAAGTTGATGAGCTGATTACATTTGCTATATTTCATTTCAAAGCAGCTGTGGAACAGGACTCTATGTTTGCATTTGCCTACACGGACCTGGCCAACATGTATGCTGAGGGAGGCCAATATAGCAACGCTGAAGACATTTTCCAGAAAGCCCTTCGTCTGGAGAACATAACTGATGATCACAAACATCAGATCCACTACCACTATGGACGCTTTCAGGAATTTCACCGAAAATCAGAAAATACTGCCATTCGTCATTATTTAGAAGCCTTAAAGGTTAAAGAAAGGTCATCTCTGCGCACCAAACTGACAAGTGCTCTGAAGAAATTAGCTACCAAGAGACTTGGTTATGACGCCTTCGATGTCCAGAGTTTGAGTGCCCTAGGGTTCATTTACAAGCTGGAGGGAGAAAAGAGGCAAGCTGCTGAGTACTATGAGAGGGCTCAAAAGATAGATCCTGAAAATGCAGAATTCCTTACTGCTCTTTGCGAGCTTCGACTTTCCATTTAAATACATTCTCTAGGAAATTAGTTTGAGCTTCCGCTCACCCCATTTTGGGTTTTTATATTTTTGCTTGTTTTAATCAGTTGTTCATTATAGACCCAATATTTATTGAATGGTTCTTGTGTACCAGGCATTGTGCTAAATGCTTTGTATACAGTATGATGAATCTGTGACTATTTTCTTTCTTTTATTACCAAAATATTTAGTTCATTGAGAAACAGCAACATTCCAGCTATTGTAACTTTAAAAAATGATATGACCATTAGGACTATATACCCTTTATCTCTACTAATTATAATAATCTTCTGATTAAATTTCATCAAATTTCCCACATTACTTACTTATGCAGTAAATATCATCCTATATAAGCCTTTGACATCTAGGTAAGGAACACTCTTTTAGGAGTGCAAAATTATTAGTTAAGCTCTTAACTGTGTAGTTTGCAAAAGAAAGAACCTTTTACTTAACAGAT